AAACAAAAAGAAAATAAAAAGCTAATCAGTTAGAAAATAGAATGGGAACAATGTTGCCTGTATCACAAACTACTTAAATTTTGGCTCGCATCTAAAAGTTTGCTATACTTTTTACGTGAATGGTGCTATCAATCTTCCTGAGACATATTAATTAATGAATCCATTGATATGATCAACTGGATTTTGCAAAAAAACATGAGATACCTCAGGATATTTTCTGTAACCCTCTTTTTTTTCCTATCTATTTTTCAGTATTTTTCAGTGGACATGTTCTTCATATCAGTCATTATCATATCCAAACAAATCCCTGTGGTTGTGTAGAAAAAGTTTAGGAGATGTTCTAAAGGAACTGTGTATGAATTTTCTTCTGAGCACTTCTTGAATGCTAATGTGCCTGTTCAGTCTGAATTAAAAATGTAAAGCAGACTGTGTGCATAGTGGAATTAACTTACAGTTCAATTAAATAAAAAATATGTATGCTAACTAACCCACTTGACAAAACTGAAATTAAAAAAAGATACCAACTATCAATAATGGTGCTCTCCTCCAAACAAAAAAATTTATGGTAAGAGAATGTTACTGATCAGTGACAGTGTTCATAGATATCGACCACTTTGTTCAGCTTCCATCCAAACACAAAATAACCACAGCCAGCTCCCAGAGCAACAGCCAGACACAGCCAGACATTGTATGTCATGAAGATCAACATGAGGAAATAGCTCAAGGTGACTTGGACAACATGAAGGTATGTTTGAAGTATATGATGCCAATTGCAGATTCTGGACCTGTCAACAAAAAGGCAATACAACCTGACTTATTTGAAAACAAAACAAAAATCAACAGAAAAAAGCAGATGAGACACAGTGTAAATCATTAATACCTAGTCCATTTTACAGTTGCCAAGCCTTTGATCAGGAGTGAGGCTAGCTAAGGGTGACCTTGTTATGATGTAACAAACCATGCTGCTTTTCGAATGTAAATTTCTTTGTTATCATGCTAACCAGATAATTGTCTCTATCACCACATGGTCAACTTCAGCCTTACTCCAAATCAAAGGCTTCCCAACAAAGGACACAACAGTAAAAAAGCTAACTGCCATAATAGCTGAGCTTATTGGAACTCTAAAACTGCATGATATGACTACATATTCTAGTTTGCATGATTGATTTGACCCTGCTACCATTTCTCACACATCAAGTGCTAATGAAACCAACATGAAAGAAATGTCAACATAGCAACATACAACTTTTCAACCCTTCAACTACCAAGATCCTGACACTGCCTGTCAAACATTTATGAAAATTTCAGCTCTGAAAGTTTGGTGTAGACAAGGCAAACAAAATCTCCCAATTAATATTTTCTTTCTTCCCAATCCCTCTCTGCTTAACGATGTATTGATGTGGTATGAAGAAATCACACATTGCTTAGTCATAAGAAAGAAAGGGTTGTTAAAAATGATGCTGTGACAGGTGTCTGCTTCCTTGAACAAAGAGTAGAATAAAGAAAATTTGCCCCGTAAAACAATAAAATACATTTTAATATTAGCTCCACACTAGTAGTGGAAACAAATCTCACCTTGGAATCTTTCCCTTTGATTCAGTCACAACAGTTGTTTGAGTAGGTCCTGTACCATACACCTTGGTCTCTGCCAAATCCACGCTAACCACATAGCTATATTTCCTCTTTAACACTTCACGAAGAACTTTTAATCCTTCATAGAGTGCAGCAAGAACAAATATACCGAGGCAGGAGAAAACCATTTCTATCAACCAATAAATCAATGCATCAAATGATTAATGCAACAAAAAATAGAGTTATACAAGTTAATAGTCAAAATCTCTACCATTTCTTAACAAGAAAACCTGACAGCCCTTAACAACTCCACTCCCCTGAGTGACCATAACAGAATTATTCCTTACAATATAAATGCAAAGTCAAACAGACAATAACAGCCAATTAAGTTCTAGTTGTTAACATGTACACTGTACCTGCTGCTGTATCTACTTTCCAGTCTTCAAACAATATAGTTGCACTCTTGCTTACAACAAAATACATCTACAAAAGAGTAAAGAATAAATAATTACAACTGTACACCTACCTTGTAGTGAGAGAAAAAAGTACTTATTTCCAATTGAAAATGATACAAGCAAAAATTGTCAGAAAAGTGTGGCAAAGTTGCGCAAATATTTGAATGAAGGTGAAATTATGCATTTATGCAATATGAATTTAAGTTTTTACCAATTAAGGCTGCATTATATTAAGATACATTCAGTTTCAGTAAATGTAATAATTAAAAATTTCATCATATCTCCAGATTATATATAAGCCTAAAAACAAGGCTAAGTTTTTAGCTGTGCAGGTTTGACAGTCTAACATAGATGAAAAGAATAATGCAGCATGTACTTCTCTGTGACAATTAAATATGGTAAAGAAGATTCTCTAGAGAGTCCTGTGTTCAAATTTGTGTAAGAATTTTAATCCAAAGAAACAATTACTGTGAATTATACATACATTTTCTGTAACATATCAAGATTTTAAAATGATCATACATTTTCAAGTCAGATCATTTATCAAGGTTACTATCATGCACTCGTAAATATGACTTTGGGAAAAAATTATGTCACTATAGCTTTGAGAGCATCTTCTTGAAACAAATCATTTGTATATCGATGCAATTTAAAGCCATAAACTGCATGCTGGAATGTTCTCTACAAGAGGAAATTTAAAAATGGCTAGACACAAAAATGAAAGACAATATGATAAGATTTGGATTATTTTTTAAGATGAGTCACCCATCACAGTTTATACAATAACTGCAGTCCTGCTAAGGAAATTTGTGAAGGTCCACACTTAGCATCCTCTGAGCCTGGAAATCTGATGCCAGGATTTTCTCAAAGTAAATATCATGAAATGGATATGGTCAACTGATTTGCAAAATAGTGAAGAAAACTTTTGATCACCTTTCCCATCCTGGAATACCTTTTAGCAATCAAGTTTAAAGGAAAAACTAAAACCTGTAGACACCTCACAGTATAACATACAGCTCAGCGTATTGGCCAAGATGGTAAAAATGCAGTCATCAGCAGCCAAGTGTTACATTATATTACCTGCTGTCAGTAATTACCACCACATATCAAATATTTAATGTGGCAAAAGAAACAAATTGTCCTTACTGCATTTCTTAATTTCCCTAATATAAAATTTCATGAGCAAAATTTCTCTTTCCATTTTTTCACACCATACTTGCTTTGGATGAATTGGCGTGATTTATTTAGTTTTATAATGAAATGTTTTTTGGATAAGAAACTTCCATTCTCAAGTTACAAGAATTATCATATTATTTTTATCTTGCACAATTAATATTAAAGCAAAACTGACACTTGCAACCTACACAGTTATCATAACACATTAAATAAATCTGCCTTTTGACAAGTATTGGACCAAAGCACAATTACACATTTTTGGTTGGAGTGACAAGCATTTTTTGAGAGAACTTTGAGAAAGAATTAGTTGTTTCAATTTTCCATTTAGTTTTTTTTCTGATCCTTGCAACCCTAATTTCATTTGTTAATGCTTATTTATGGAACATACCACAAGAATTAGAGGACACAAGCAAATTTTTACCTGTTTTATGACAAAATCTCTGCACATCAGACCTTCCGTTACAAATGCTTGCAAGCAAATTCAAATTATGATATACCCAAAGTGGGAGAACAAGTTCCAACCATTTATATTTTTTTTCAGTCTAAGTAATGGTGAAACATATGGTTTATTTTTTTAGTCTCTTTTCCCTGAATTTGGTTTTATGATGCCAAATTATGAATAAAATTTGGCATGTTGCCCAAATATATTCAAATTACATATCCTAATGGAGGATGTGTAAAATTGAAGGACGAAGAAATTATTCCATGTTAAGGATTCATCTTTTCCATCATTATGCAGCAGGAGAAAAACACATATGAAACTACTCACAAGTAAGATTGCCACTGGAATTCAATTTTGCACTGGCAAAATCATTGGATCAGAAGCTACATTTTAGGCAACCAAAACAGAGTTGAAATTATATAACTTGCTTAGATACTTTCTACATATCTATAACAATTTTGACAAGCAATTTCTTACAATTTGCCCAATTGTGATAGAAAGTTGGATGGATGCCATTTGATCCAAGTAGAATTTTATTAAAAGGGAACACCATGATAACAAATCGTCACCAACAACTTGTCAGAGCTGAAGCAAAAATTTCTTCCCTCGGGTAAAAAACATTATAACTAAATTAACATTTACTACCAATACACAAAAGGCAAAACTTTCTTAATAATTAGGGGAGTTACCAAACACATCCTCACCAAGTAGTTTTAAAAAGAAACACAAATGTTGTGTGGAATAGATAAAAAGTAATTAAGGTTGAATACAAGAGTTGTAATATCTTGGTGTGAGAACCCTAGTACTTGAAACAGGTCCAATATTGTGAAATGTAAATATCCATGAAGGCTGTTGTCTCCTTGGTGTCAAGCTTACCAAACAAAGACAACAAATGTCAGATTCTGAAATTTGCTACAAGTCTGTTATATTTGTAAACCGGCACGTTGTGTGGATTTTACATAAGGCTAAGTTCCCAAGACACAAAAAAAGGTGTTTAAACAGATGTGTAAAGCTAACATAGTCTCACAGGAAACCTTTAGAAAAATGTGGCAAAAAAAACAATTCAAAGAACAAAGAAGAGGGCGTATGGATCAATACGTCATTAGTTAACAGATGTAAATTTGTCGTCATGATAAACATAGGCATGTTATTGAAATGATGAATACCAGAACCCCGATTTCTTTCTCAAAACCATTTTTTCTATACTCCTTAATAAAAGTTTAGCTCATGGGTAAATGAAACATCTCTTAACTTAGATTTACAAGCCACTAAATATTACGTTTAAACCGAAGTAAAATAATAATATTACCCGAAAAAGCACAACGTCAAGTCTGCCTCGTTTAAGTAAGTTCAAACAATTTCTTACGATCTCAAAAGCCAAAAAAAGATACAAACGATGACCATTCAAACTCTCAAACCAAAACATGTTTTGAGCTTTCAATAAAATCTGTTTAGCATGTGCAATTGCGGCAATCAAAACGTTTGATCGTTGGTATAACATCCGTAGCGAGATCGAATCAAGAGGGATTTTATTACGAGGAAAAAGTACATCAAGTGAATGGTAATCGTATAAGTAATGGGAAATAAACTTTGTTGAACGATCGTGGACGAATAGCTCATGTTTGTAGACATAACCTTACTCCTTGAGATTTCGACGGAATGAGAGGAAATCGAAGTAAATTGAACCAGAGTCACGGGATGATAAACGATATGCCTCACTACTCCTCTTTGGTCATTTTACTTGACGGAGGAAGACGAGTCTTTCCTCAAGATCGCCCTTTAAAAATGAGAGCAATGGCAAATTTCTGACTGAAATGATGCCGTTTTCAAAATGAAATAGTAAAGAAAACTAACTAAACAACCAATGCAAACCTGCATCATATGGTGGACAGTGCCTCCGTGCCCGCCATGATCTCCATGAGTCATCGGCGGCGTTGTAGACATGTTCATTCCAGAATGCATATTATTACCATGCATGTGATTATGATCCATATTAAGGTTTAAATCGTTTCTCAAAAAACTTTTATCAAAAGACCAAGACAAGAGGACACCAACAGCTCAGACGCTATATCAACCGATGATGCGCAGATAGTCACGTACTAAATATTAATACTGCCATAATATTGGTACCAGTCTTCACTCTGTAAATCACTGTGTCACTTCCAGATTGGCTG